CACCTGGGCACACCTGGGCGGGGTCAGGTGTGTCTCACCTGCTGTGGAACTTCTCACCTGGGCTTGGGGCCTCACCTGTCCCTGAAACCTGGGGATTTTAGGGCTGAAATTGGGGGTTTTGGGATTGAAATTTTGGGAATTTTGGGGCTGAAATTGGGGATTTTGGGATTGAAATTTTGGGGATTTTGGGGTTGAAATTTCAGGATTTTGGGATTGAAATGTTGGAATTTTGGGGCTGAAACCTGGGAATTTTGGGGCTGAAACCTGGGGATTTTTGGGCTGAAACCTGGGGATTTTGGGGCTGAAACCTGAGGATTTTGAGGTTGAAATCTGGGGATTTTGGGGCTGAAACCTGGGGATTTTGGGGTTTTCTCACCTGCCCAGGTGTGTCCCAGCTGTCTCTGAAATCTGGGGATTTTGGGGCTGAAATCTTGGGGATTTTGGGGTGGAAATTTTGAGATATTGGGGTTGAAATTTTGGCATTTTGGGATTGAAATCTCAGGGATTTTGGGGATGAAATTGGGGATTTTTGGGCTGAAATCTGGGAGTTTTGGGGCTGAAATCTGGCGATTTTGGGATTGAAATCTGGGGATTTTGGGGTCGAAGTCTCAAGATTTTGGAGCTGAAAATTCTGGATTTTGGGATTGAAATCTGGGGATTTTGGGGTCGAAATCTCAGGATTTTGGGCTGAAACCTGGGGATTTTGGGGTTGAAATTGGGAATTTGGGGGCTAAAATCTGGGAATTTTGGGGCTGAAATTGGGGACTTTGTGGCTGAAATCTGGGGATTTTGGGCTGAAACCTGGGGATTTTGGGGCTGAAACGTGGGGATTTTGGGGCTGAAACGTGGGGATTTTGGGGCTGAAACGTGGGGATTTTGGGGCTGAAACCTGGGGATTTTGGGGCTGAAGCGTGGGGATTTTGGGGTTTCCTCACCTGGCCAGGTGTGTCTCACCTGTCTCTGAAACGTGGGGATTTTGGGGCTGAAACCTGGGGATTTTGGGGCTGAAACGTGGGGATTTTGGGGTTTCCTCACCTGGCCAGGTGTGCCTGACGGGTGTCACCTGCGCAGGTTCGTGTACGCCAAGGACCGCACGGACCGGATCCGCACCTGCGCCATCCTGTGCCACATCTACCACCACGCCCTGCACAGCCGCTGGTACCGCGCCCGCGACCTCATGCTGATGTCACACCTGCAGGACAACATCCAGCACGCCGACCCGCCCGTGCAGGTAAAGAGACACACCTGGGCAGGTAAACACTCACCTGAGGGGTTAAAGACACACCTGGGTAGGTGAGACACACCTGGGCAATACCATTTCTCAGGTTAAAATTTTGGGATTTTTTTACCATTTTTCAGGATAAAATTTTGGTGTTTTTTATCACTTTCCATGATAAAATTTTGGGGTTTTTTTACCATTTCTCAGGTTAAAATTCTGGGGTTTTTTTACCAATTTTCAGGACAAAACTTTGGGGTTTTTTACCATTTTTCAGGTTAAAATTTTGGGGTTTTTTTACCATTTTTCAGGATAAAATTTTGGTGTTTATTATCACTTTTCAGGATAAAATTTTGGGATTTTTTTACCATTTCTCACGTTAAAATTTTGGTGTTTTTTATCATTTTTCAACATCAAATTTTGGTGTTTTTTACCAATTTTCAGGATAAAATTTCAGGGTTTTTTTACAATATTTTGTGACATTTTTAATCTCACCTGTCCCCCCCAGATCCTCTACAACCGCACCATGGTCCAGCTGGGCATCTGCGCCTTCCGCCAGGGGCTGATCAAGGACGCGCACAACGCGCTGCTGGACATCCAGAGCTCCGGCCGCGCCAAGGAGCTGCTGGGCCAGGGGCTGCTCCTGCGCAGCCTCCAGGAGCGCAACGCCGAGCAGGAGAAGGTGGAGAAGCGGCGCCAGGTGCCCTTCCACATGCACGTCAACCTGGAGCTGCTGGAGTGCGTCTACCTGGTGGCGGCCATGCTGCTGGAGATCCCCTACATGGCGGCGCACGAGTTCGACGCCCGCAGGAGGATGATCAGCAAGCAGTTCCACCACCAGCTGCGCGTCGGAGAGAGGCAGCCGCTCCTGGGTAGGGCAAGGGACGAGTCTCAGGGGTTTGAACCAAAACTGGGGGGTTTTGACCCAAAATCTGGGGGTTTGGGGTCAAGATTTGGGAGTTTTCAGGTCAAAAATCGGGTTTGGAGGTCCATAATTATCTTAATTCACTCTTGGTTTGGTGTTTCTATGTCTTAAGATGGCGGTTCTAGATGTTCTTGAGGTTCCTCAGACCAAAATCGGTTATTTTGCCCAAAATGTTGGGATTTTGACCCAAAATCGGGTTCTCGAGGTCCATAATTATCTCAATTCATTCTTGGTTTGGTGTTTCTGTGTCTTAAGATGGCGGTTCTAGATGTTCTTGATGTTCCTCAGACCAAAATCGGTTATTTTGACCTAGATTTAGAGATTTTGACCCAAAATTGGGTTTTTGAGGTCCATAATTATCTTGATTCAGTCTTGGTTTGGTGTTTCTAGGCCTTAAAATGGCGATTTTAGATGTTCCTGAGGTTCCTCAGACCATGGTTGGTGGTTTTGACCAAAATGTGGGGATTTTGACCCAAAATTGGGCTCTTGAGGTCCATAATTACCTTAATTCAGTCTTGGTTTGGTTCTTCTATGTCTTAAAATGGCAGTTGTAGATGTTCTTGATGTTCCTCACACCAAAATCGGTTCTTTTGCCCAAAATTTGGGGATTTTGACCCAAAATTGGGTTCTTGAGGTCCATAGTTATCTTAATTCAGTGTTGGTTTGGTTCTTCTATCTCTTAAAATGGCGGTTCTAGATGTTCCTGAGGTTCCTCAGACCATGGTTGGTGGTTTTCACCAAAATTTGTGGATTTTGACCCAAAATTGGGTTCTTGAGATCCATAATTACCTTAATTCAGTCTTGGTTTGGCATTTCTATCTCTTAAAATGAAGGTTCTAGGAGTTCTTGATGTTCCTCAGACCAAAATCGGTTATTTTGCCCAAAATGTTGGGATTTTGACCCAAAGTTGGGTTCTTGAGATCCATAATTACCTCAATTCACTCTTGGTTTGGTATTTTTATCTCTTAAAATGGCGATTTTAGATGTTCCTGAGGTTCCTCAGACCAAAATCGGTTCTTTTGCCCAAAATTTGGGGGTTTTGACCCAAAATTGGCTTCTCGAGGTCCATAATTACCTCAATTCACTCTTGATTTTCTTCCTTTATCTCCTAAAATGGCGATTTTGGATCTTCTTGACATTCCTCAGACCAAAATCTGGTTTTTTGCCCAAAACCAGCGTTTTTGACCAAAATTCAGCATTTTTGACCCAAAATTGGCTTCTTGAGGTCCACATTTACCTTCATCCCCTATTGGTTTTCTTCCTTCACCCCAAAATTTGGGAATTTTGGATCTTCTGGATTTTCTTCACCCAAAATTCACTCCTTCAGACCAAAAAATGGGAAATTTTAGCCCAAAATTGACTATTTTTTACCCAAATTTGGCTTTTTTCACCCCAAAATTCTCTCACCTGTCCCAGGTGTCCCACCCGTGTCCCACCCGTGTCCCACCTGTCCCAGGTCATTTTGTCACCTCCAAAGTCCCATTTTTAACCCCAAAAACTCCAA